TGCATTTCAGGCTTGGTTATCCCCGGGTCTTATCCACGGTGTAATAGAGATACTTTTCTCCAGTGCCATGCATTGTGACCCTTTAGTTCCCCTAAAGTTTGCTTCTCTCACTGTTGAAAATCTAAAAGAACTCATTAATCCAGCCACCGTAACCCTCAAAACCTGCGAAGGCATGATGCACAGTTCAGGTCAGCAGGAAATGACGATGTCAAGTCATTCATTGGTAAGCTCCTACCTCCCACTGATGTCACTAAGAGGCCTTGGAAATACTACACCAGTATCACTGGTGTCGATTAGAAACATTTTGCCATGCTTGATCTTAAAAATTCTAATGTTTGCAGTGTTAAAATGCTTTGCAAATATGTATCAATGATACTAAAAGATGCCTCCTGATGGGAAGAAACTCTGATCTTTTAACTTTCTATATTCATATAATACAATCCAGAACATGCTGGTATTACGGTAAATGAAGGTGCTAGCCTCTTTGTCTCAAATAGAATTTAGCAAAATAAAAACTACAACCAGAGTTTTCATTACAGCATTTAAAAATTACTAGTGTGCTTAATGAAAATTTGTTCAGGTGCAAACAAGCAGTTAAAATATAAACACCCTGTTAACACTGATGTAGACTATGGATTTACCCCACAACTGCTTAATCACCATGCAGCATTTGGATTTTTATATATGTATTCATATATACATGATGATTATAATGTATAAGAAATAAATGGTGTACTCCCAGCACTCGGGGAGGCAGAGGCAGGTGGATCTCTGTGAGTTCAAGGCCAGCCTGGTCTACATAGTGAGTTCCAGGCCAGCTGGGGCTACTGGGAGGCCCTGTCTCAAAAGAGACCCCCCCAAAAAGGTATTACATTATTCCTAATACTAAGGATAATGCTTTTAAGTGTCAAAAATACTGCTTTCTTCAATTAATGGCCCTTTTGAAGACCTGAATTTTCTTTTATTTCCATTTAACATTCTTTTCACCTCTCAAACAAGAATGTTCTTTCTTACTTTTTTTTTCACAGAAGACCAAATACTGCCTCTCTGCTGTCGAAATCTGTCTATATGTTACAACTTGACATTCTGAATCACAGACATATAGCATTTAAAACAAACCAAACATTACTTAAGCTTTCTATACTACATAGTTTAGATAATTGTGCCTTAGTCCAAATTTAGACTCACAGTTGTCACAATCCTCAGTCCAGGTAATAATTCTGTAGTTCCATTTTTCTGCAAACAGCAAGGTTAAATCATATCTGCCAACAAACTAATCTGAGCTTTTCATTTTTATCAAATGACGCTTTACTGAGTCCCCTATGCAAACATTACAATAGCAATCATTTCACTTTAAATTATCAAAATGTTCAGAATCCTGGCAAAAACTACTGAAACAAATTTATGGATAATAAAGGCTAATTGGAACCCTTAAACATATGGTATAGTTATACACAGTTAAATATGTAGCAAAAGTTATGTTTGTTTCTGAACTGTGAAATTTCCTGTTGTATCCCAGCTGACCAGGACCACGCTGAGGACACATCTTTGTAAGCGAGTGCTGGCAATGAAAACAACTTAGCAATAGACTAAGACAGTGATAATGAAGCCATGTTTATGCCTGGATTTAAAACTTCTTAAAACAGGGGTTGGAGAGATGGCTCAGCGATTAAGAGCACTGGCTGCTCTTGCAGAGGACTCAGGTTCAATTCCCAGCACCCACATGGGAGCTCACAACCATCTATAACTCCAGTTCTAAGGGATCTGACACCCTCTTCTGACTTCCACAGGCATTGCATGACATGGGTACACTTACATCCAGGCAATACACTCATACGCATAAAATAGAATTTTTTTTTTAAACTTAAAACCGCCGTTTACTATTTCACTTTATCTCAAAGAATAGAACTTATTAAACACATCAGTCGGGTCTTTAGGGTATAAATATTCTATTGAATTGTTATGTGTAATGTGGGAAAATGTAATGTTTTCATGATTTCTATCAATGTGAAATAAAATTAAATTCTGGCTAAAAAAAATTATGGAGGGGCTGAGTGTGGTGGTGCAATTTGTAATCCCAGAAACTCAGGAGACTGAGGCAGAATGGTCACAGTTTCAAAACCAGCCAGGGCTACACAGCAAGACCCTGTACCCCCCCAAAAAGGGGAGGACCTCCAGTTTTGCATGCTGAAGCAGCACAGGTGGTATCATGGTGGTGTCGACTGATGTCATGGGTGGCTTTGGCTGACAACCTGACAACCTCAGCTAGGGGATTTTCTCTATCGGTGGCCACGTCGGTGAGGCATTTTCCCGATTGTTGAGTGATGTGGGAGGGCCCAGCCCACTGTGGGTGGTGCTACCCTGGGCAGGTGGTGTTGGGTTGTATAAGAAAGTGGGCTGAGCACAGGCCAGGGGAGCAAGCCAGTAAGCAGCGTTCCTCCATGGTCTGCTTCAGCTCCTGCCTCCAAGTTCCTGCCCTGAGTTCCCGCTTGACTTCCCTAAAAGATGGATTATCACTTGGAAGTGTGAGCGGCAACCCTTTCCTCCCCAAGTTGGTTTTGGTCAGAGTGTTTTATAACAGCAATAAAAAGTAGCCAGGACAGGAAAGAGCCCATGTTGGCCTGAAGAGACCCTATGCCATGTTGTGTCATGTGCCCTTGTGAACACCTTCCAGATCCCCACTGCCCCAGGGGCTCACACTCCAGAGCCTCCTCCTCAGACACCCATTTGTGCCTCACCACATTGTCCAGGCACATTAGTTGGGACAGAGGAGCATCTCAGAAGACTGGAGTCTAGTTCTCAAGGACAATGACAAGGCAGACCGGCTTCAGCCACCACTGAGGGTTTTCCTTAGACAAAGGTTAAGTACATAAAGGGGCTGGAGAGATGGCTCAGCAGCTAAAAGCATGTATGGCTCTTACAAAGGATCCGGGTTTGGTTCCCAACAACCACATCAGGCAGGTCACAACCACTTCTAACTCTTAACTCCAGGGGGATCCAATGCTAGGCTTCTGGCCTCTGTGAGCCCCCTGCACCCATGTGCACACCCCCACACAGACAGACAGACAGATACACATAATATTAAAAGTTAAAAATAAATCTTTTCACAATCAATTAAATAAAACAAAGACAGCCATTTTGTTTCTCTGTGTGAAATGCAGTCAACTATGGCAACCAGTTGAAATTTATAGACAAGAAACCGGAGCCTGAAGCCGCCCCACCTGAGGGCACCATGACTAGTTACCACGCCAGCTGATGCTGCAGAAGCCCCCAGGAGAACGCCCTTCCCAGGGGCATCAGTGCAGATGGTCACAACACAGAGGCAGTGGAGCCACGTGAGACCCCAACAGATGCCTGTGACAAGTCCCCAAATCACCCTGGGGAAGCCGTCTCATCAGTGGGTCAAAAGGTAACAGCTTCCAGTCAGGATCATCTTCAACCAAAACCACCTCTGGACTTCATGGAGAGCCCTTTGCTCCATTCCCGTCTTCCCATTAGAACAGATCAACCTGGAGCTCACAAAAGGATTAAAAAATTCAAGGAAGTACTCAACGATCCTCACAATAGCTACATGACATTTCTAACCCCTAAAAGCAAACCAGAGCAAAACTAAAATGTGTGCACAGAAGCTCAGGTAGATTCGGCACGTGCTCCACGTAACCATGGAGAAGCCTACTGCGCTGCGGAAGAGGAATCCGTATGGCAGTACACACCAGCCTCTCCCACTACCCATGCCTTGGGTTTTCTGTCTAGAGATAAAGGAGGTAGAACAAGGCCAGAACTACAGACAGGCAAGCAAGGAAACCAAAGTACAAAATTTAGCTAGACACTGACTCCGCAGGCTGATCCAGGACACCACCCTGTCCACCCTGATCTTCCTCCACTGAGTTTACAATTGCAGCAATAACCCTGACACTGGGCACGCTCAGAAACAGAGCAAACAAGCTCATCTGGAAAACTCTAGGAACAGATTCCAGGCCAACCGCAAGCCTATGAAACAGAAGTCAGGAGCCATGAAAGGACTCAGAAGCCCTGTCCATCACATGTAGCCGGGCACAAGAATGATGTAGCTAACATCTGGAAGCATCAGCTGCCCTTGTAAGCACAGTAGCCTGTCTCATCTTCAAAATAACCCTTGGAGACAGTGTGAACATCACTCTTGACATTGTTACTAAAGAGACAGAAGCCTGGAACAGAGTGAGGGGCACGCTGGCCTGAGGGGAACGCTGGCCTAGGCTAGTATATATGGTCTGAGCACTAGTATTCCCAGTTCTCTGCTTCCAGAGGACAGACACAGTATAGCCAGCTGCCTCCCAGGCTCCTACCTCCAGGTCACAGTGGACTTGACCCTGTTCTTGTTTGCTTTCTGTTGTGATAAACGCCATGACCAAAAGCAATTCAGGGAAGAAAGGATTTCTTTGACTCAGTGTGATCATCCCTCCTGCAGCAATCATCAAAATGCCCAAAGACGTGCCCAGAGGCCAGTCGGATGGCGTTAGTTCCTTAACTGAGATCCCCTCTTTCCCGGTGTGTGTCTAGGTTTATGTCCTGTAGACAAAACTAACCAGCGCAGTCCTTAAACTGCAAGCCAAAGCCAGCTCTTTCCTTTAGATCGCTGTTGTCCGTGTATTTTATGACAAGTAACTAACACCAGGTCCCTAGTAAGAACCCACTTCAAACATGGTCTTTTGTGTTAGAAAGCAGATGCACTCCTACTCACTGACCACCACAGCTTGATGGTAGCTTTGAGAGATTCCCACTTCAAACATGGCGACATCCTCTGGGTGTCAACGCTCCTGCCTCACTGACCTCCACGGTTTGATAGTTCAGAACTTTGAGAAGTTCTGAAACACGGACTGTCATCCTGCTCACGGGTTAAAGAATCTGAAGGACCAGAGGTGGCTTTGACGAAGCCGAACGACAGCAGCCGCGCTCTCTGAAGCCACCCCAGCCCACAAGACATTCCCAAAGGATTTTACCAAACCTGGAGACTGACTGACCTCCACATCCCAGAGAAGCTGAACATGGTGCTCACGCAGCGGGGGAGGGGCGGTGGTGTGAGTCCATCCAGGCGCATGAGCAGAGCCGGGACACCAAAGAGCACCAAGTACTTCACATAGAAGAAGAGCACATGAGCCAGCGCCAGCCCTCCTGAAAGGCAAAGGGACACATCAGGCACACCAGCAGAGAGCACTCTCCTGGAACTGCCCTGCTGCCCCACCACCTCTTCTTACCCTCAGGTCCTAGGCTCACTGTAATAGCTATTTTTCTGTTACTGTGATAAAACACCATGACCAAGGTAACTCAGAGAAGGAAGAGGTTCTCTGAGCTTACAGTTCCAGGGCTAAGAGTCCATGACGGCAGGGGAGACATGGAGGCAAAGGTGACCAGAGCAGAAAGCTGAGCGATCACATCTTCAAGTGGGCACGGGAAGCAGAGTACCACCGGAGATCCCACAAGGCGTAAGAACTCTCAAAGCCCGCCCCCGGTGACGTCCTTCCTCCAGCAAGGCCATACATCCTAAAACCTCCCAAAACAGCATCACCCACCAACTGGGAACAAAATACCAACACCTGGAGTCTACAGGCCACTTATTCAAACCCCCACATTCATCTTACTGAGTAACATTTTTCCATTAGCAAATAATGAGATCTCCCTATTACTATCATAGTCAACTGGCCTTGCAAGGCATGTTTTATTAGTGTGTGCATGTGTATATGCACATACATGTGCCAGAGAGCACGTTTTCCTGTGGAGGTCACAGGAAAACTTGGGTGTTGGTTCTCTCTTCCACGTGGGTTCCAGAAATCTAACTCAGGTCATCGGGTGGATGCGGTAAGGGCCTTTACCCACTAAGCCATCTCGCCAGCACAACTCATGCTTCTATAGGTAAAAGAGCAAATGCTTAAAAATACACACTGCAGTTAACAACTGAGAAAGGAGGACTCCTTCAGAAGTCCTTTCAAAGCCAACTTCACACCCACCAGGACAGCCAGAATCAAAACGCCAGATCAATGTGTGGTGGTGAGGATGTGGGGAAATTAGAGCCAGTGCACACAGCACAATTTGTGAACATGCTCAGAGGCCGTGAACTGTACTCTAAGTAGATGAATTACAGGGTATGCAAACTAAGACCCAACGTGAAAGACAGGAAGGGCTGGGCAGATGGCTCTGCTGGTAAAGTGCTTTCAGTATAAGCAAGCAGACCCGAGTCTGACCTCTAGAACCTGGGGGAAGGACTCTGGGGTTGCCTTCTGTTACAAACTGGAATTTTACCTAAAATTATAGCCAAAGTAACACTATTCAACCTGTTTCCTACTGTGTGATCAGCTGATTTCCATCTAGCTGGCCTTTAGGAAAACAGTGTAAACAATCTTGCTAGGCCTTGGGCTCCTCTCCCAATCAACTTTCACAAGCTAACCTAAACACATAGCTTTAGTCTTAAACTATGTTCTCTATTTCTCTCATGACTGTTCTTGCCCCTGGCCAAGAATAATGTGTGTATGCGCACACGCAATGTGTGTGTGTGTGTGCCTGCTATGGATGCTTGTGTGTCTGTGTGTTGTGAAAATACAACTGGAGGCAGTGACCTTGGAAGGAAATTGAACGCAACTAAACGTCTGCTGCATATGCTTCAAGCGACACATGGACTTAGCTCGACAGCGTGTCTATGATTCCGTGTTTATGCTGCTTGGTGGGGTTCAGAAACAGAAATCCTTCTCTGATGAGACGAGGTTCCTCTTTTCCTTCCCGTGTCATGCTGGGCATGCTGTTTAAATAGAGAGTACACCCTTGGGTGGAGGAGCACTTCTGAGAGAAATGAGAACAGTTCTGAGAGCAGATCAGACTCACTCTACATTTAAATGACTCCAAGAGTCGGTCTCTTTGTTGAGGCACCACCTCACTGTGGCATCTCCATCACATTAGAACTCACGTAAAAAGCCAGGCGAGGTGTGTGCACTTGTAACCCCAGCACAGGGAAGTAGAGGCAGGTGAATCCTTGGGATCTGCTGGCCGGCCAGCCTAGCCTACTTAGGAAGCCCCAGGTCCCTGTGAGAAATCCTGTCTCAAAACAAACAAGGTGTCTGCAGAGTACGGTAGCACACCATAATCCCAGCACTTAGGAGGCAAAAACAGGAAGATCTCTGTTAGATCAAGACCAGCCTGGTCATGTTCCAGGCCAGCTGGAAAGTAAAAAACAAGGTGGTTAGTGCCTGAGGAACAATACAAGTTTGACCACAACTTCCACATATATGTACCTGAGCACATGCATATACCCACCCTCTCCCCTATACACATACAAAAGTGATGGGATCAAAGGACCAACAAACACGAGGCCCTGCGCTGACCACCTGCTCCTCTATTGGGATGAAAGCAAGGAGGGGTTTGGGCATGACGTGAGGCTGGAGGTGGCCCTGCAGCTCCTTCTCGGGGACAATGCACAGCCCAGCAAGGACTTGGAGTGCTTGGCCAGATCCCACCTTCCTTTGGCTTCCTGGCAGACCATTTCCACCTCTTCCCCCAGGAGGGAGGTGAAGGGCCTGGACCTGTGTGACTAGATACCATCCGTGTGGCCTTAGCAGAAGCGTGGCGAGTGGAGACAGGTCTGACAGAGCGTGCTGCGAGAAGGCCAAAGGTGAACATGGCAGGAAGCCTCAGAGGCAGCCAGAAGCACATCCACACAGCATCCAGAGTCTTCCCTGCTCTGCAGTACAGCTGGTGCCTCTCAGGTACTAAGACACGGTCACTGAGCTTCTCCTATTACAGGAGGATCTGTGGGCGAATGTCAGCTCACTGGAGTGTGCAGCTCCAATGCACTGTGCCAGATGAAGACAGGCCACTCTGAAGTACATCCTGGCTGATGGCAGGGTGTGAGTAAAACATGAAAGGAACGACTAAATAATTCATAAAGTACACACATACACACACACATACATAACACACACACATACACACACATACACACATACATAACACATACACATAACACACACACACACACACACACACACACACACACATACACACACACAAAAACCGTTCTTTCTCCTGTGCAGCTTGTAACCCCAGCACTGGAAGCAGAGGCAGATAGATCTCCAGAGCTCACTAGCTGGCCAGCCAGCCTGGCTAAACCAGGGAAGTTCGAGCCAGCTACAGACACTGTCTCAAAGGTCTGATTGGCATTAACACCCACTTGATAGGAGGAATTCATGCCTGGGACTGTAAACCTGACAAGACCCCATGGGTGGTGAGGGCAGATCCTTGAGAACCTGCCCCAACATTTTCCTAGATCAACAGAGCTTCCGACTGTGTTCTAAGCACCCTTCTACCCACAGTAAGCACAGCCCTCACCAGTCATCAAAGAAGCTTCTTTGGAAACCAGCAGAGGATACTAGAAAGATCCACAATTGGCCGAAATGCAGAGCAGAGGTGACTGTGGTGCCCAGCCCCACCTGGTATATCTGCAGTACAGCCCAGACATCCAAAGCGCAGGAGGAGGGGGCAGAAAGACTGTAGGAGCCGGAGGACCTTGAGCCTGCTGCTAGATGGTGTCTTCTAGAATGAGAAGGAAGCTGAGCCCATGAAATCACAAGATGGCTGCCTGCACAAGACTTGCATAATGACACCACCAGCTGACACGTCAACATGAATGGGGAGACTGTTCCGAAGCTCCTACCCCTGGACCAACAGCTACAGGTTATTAATTCCAGAGGGAATTAATAGGTTTAGTTTTCTTCAGGGATAAACCTGATAAGTTACCCAGTCCTAAATGGTCAACCCTAAACACATGCACATACAAACAGTAACTGGACTCAGTATGGTGTGTGTATGTGCACGCACAATAATTATACAGGAAGAGGTCGTGAATTTGAGAGGGAGTCGGGGACACAGGAGCAGTTGAAGGGAGAGAAAGACATGTGAGGTCGATCTCTGGTCTCTGTAAGCATGCACACACGTGTGCATACACACACACATACAATCACACACATTAACACACATACTACACATTCATCAAGAGGTGAGGTGTTTGTGCTAGGCCCACCATCTTATAGTCACTCAGAAGTAGACACATGGCCAATCTGAGTGTGAAGAACTCTGTTCTGCTGGGTTAGATGGCAGTGCTGCCGGAAGGTGGTGCTCCAAAGCAGATGGAATGATCCCAGCCCCTGTTGAGAATAGTCCAGAGCTAGACACAGCAGGGTGGCAGCAGGACGTACCAACAGCTGCTCAGAAGCACAAAGCTGCCACAGGCAACAGCCTTGCTAAAGCCCAGGTGGCAGTGACCTAGGGAAGACCACGGTCCCTCAAGGCCACCCCGAGCTCTAGGAGACAGCAGAAACTTTGGGGACTTGCAAACAGGAAGTCAGCTCAGGAGGATGGATTGCCTGTCTCCAGCACAGTCTCCGTGTCTGACACTTGTACACAGGTGCCATTCTCAGACTTAAAATTATAATTGTTGACCGTCTACATGTTCATGAGTTACCGTTTACACAAACCTTCAGCGTGCATTAGTACTTTCACAAGCATCTGAGCTAAAGACGGGATTTTGTGTACATGTTTAATAGGATTGACTAAACCCAAGTGAAGGTAACTGAGTTTCTTTTTACTCCAGCATGGATGGGAAATACAAGCCACAGATATTTATAAATATACAACAAGTGCTCTATTTACCTGTCACTGTTTCTTGTGGATTAAGATACAGGACGCCGAACAACGGCTCAGTAGGTACAGTGCTCACCGTGCAGATGTAAGGACCAGAGTTTGGGTCCCCAGGACCCACATAAATGGCTACAATCCCAGAACTCAGAAAACAGGGACACCCCAGGACAGGAGGGCCAGGTAGACTAGCTGAATCAGAGCGCTGGGCTGAAGTGAGAGACACCACCTCAAAACATAAGGCAGCAAACAACCAGGGAAGAGTCCAACATCCACCTCCGGCCACCACATGCATACACATGCATATGTACATGTACCCACACGCACCCACACACGCAAGCATGCATGTACACATGCACACTGCACACAAGAAAAAAATTTAATATACAAAGACTCACTGTATTTTTCCTTGACATTTTAATAACTGACTCACAAACCTATAGGAAAAAAGACAGTGGTTTTAAAGTACTGTAATTGTGAGTTTTCTGGAGTGT